TCTCTGTCTTTGTCGTTGAATTGTTTAATGGATAACAGATATTTTAAGTTTTTAATTCTGTTTCCATAGTCTCTAGATTTTTCAGCTTGGATGGGCGAAATTTTTACATACGTTTTCACCGGAATTGAAAAATATTTTTTTTTTTTTTTATTCTAGTTAATTCGTGAATGGGGCTTCTGAGCCTTTTGTTATGTGGAGGGGGGCATTTCTGGGGTTTTAATGGGAGAAGGACTGGGGGTGTGGCGGGGTGTATATGTTTTCCTAAAAGGGCTAGGGTCTATACTGAGAGGGATTGAGGATTAGGAAAAAGATGTGGAAGGAGAGGCAGGTGAAGACTTCTCTCTACAAAGAGGGGTTGAGGGATGGTAAGAAAGTGGTTGGTCAGAGGATGTGGAGGGAGTGGCCTTCTTTGAAGAGGTGGACTTTGGCTGACTGGGTGTAGAGGGCTGGAGAGACTGTGTAGTGGAATTGGAAGGAAGTCTTTTCTTGGTGGAGGATTTTGTTTTCCTTTGCTGATCTAGTTTTTGTTTAAGGAATTTAATTTTTTTTTCAGTCATTTTGTAGCCGGGATCGTATTTTCTTTGTAGATCTTGGATTGAGGCTGGGGCTTCGCCTTTACTGTTGACAAAGGAAGTGGGGCTGTAAGTTCCTTTTGTCCGAGGGGCTTCAGGGGACTGAGGACCCGCTGTCTGGCGCTTCCCTCTGACCCTGCCAGCAACCTGACATCCCCTTTCCTCTTCCACAACTGCACTTGCAGCGGAAGAAGGCTCTTCGGGAATGGGGGCTTTGGTGTTGGCCCAACCGTGGGTTTGACCACTCCGATCCCGGAAGCTGGCATGCCCATTACAGGCGAGGCGGATTTTAAAGACTCGGTCAGAGAGGGAGTTTGGTGCTCCCCGATAATCTGAGGTGGGACTTCGTATACTGCTACTTGGTCCTTCTTCTGCCTTCGTACTCAGTTCGGAGAATCAAATCTTTTGTGATTAAATCCCGACTTGTGACTTTTACGCAGTCTTCGGCAGTAGGTCCCACATGAAAAAGCGTTTACCCTTAAAGATACAAATGGCTTAAACCCTAGTGTTTTAACTACTGAGTCTTTCGTCGAACGACAAATTTTGCGCAAACGCTTGTCGACGACAAAGACCGACACTATTCTTTTATCGATCTTCTTTAGTTCGATTGGATCCTCCAAGAGTCCACCTTCTACCACAAGGTGTGCGTAACTCTTAGCACTCTCCAAAACCTCCGCAATATCGATAATGCATTTAGATGGGGACTTGCAACAAGAGGGCGATTCCCCGGCCTCTGCATTCTCACTTGACTTGTCTTTTTCCTGGCCCTTATTGGCTTCTATGTTTTGGCTCTTTTCGGCCTCCGTAGACTTGGTAGCTTTTTTTAAAAGCATTCACAATTTCCTCATTCGTTGGAACACTCAATACGATTGGGTACTCTTCACTGTCATCCTTATCCGGTGGGTGTTTTCTAACAGAAAATAAATGCTTCTTTACCGACCTTTTAAAGTCCGCCATAACGGGTCTCTTCCTTTTAAGAATGGACAGGATGTTGTTTTTTTTCTCCACTTTTAGTATTTATATAACGGGAAAGGAAGGGGAGGGATGGTAAGAAACAATGGTCGCCTATAGGCTAGGGGAAAAACTAAAACAAAGTTCGCCTATCAGCGAAACAAATTTAAAATGACAGACAAATAACAGTCACAAAATATGTTTAAAAAAAGAAAAGCACAAAATTAACAAGAGAAACTTGAACAATTGGTCACAAGCAAAAAAATATGCACAAAACAGTTAAAAACAAACGTTATACAAAACAATGACCCAAATAAATTACACAAAATCAGAAAAAACTATAAAGAAAACAGTTTAGACAATTTTTAATACTAAAAATAAAAGTAAAAAGGACAAGTTACAGACACGAATAAAAATAAAAGAAAAAAAGAAAAAGAAAATGTAATAAATTAAAAAGAAAGGAAAAAGCGAAAAATAAAAATAAAAAAGGTTTTCAAATAACAGAAAACAAAAGAACGTTAATGAATTTTACAGAACGGTGTTAGTCGAACAAACAAAAGAAAACCACACGCGTCAGTAATGCAGTCTTGCCAAGTCAAACACGGACTAGAGCTGAACAAAACGACCAAACTCGATGTCTGACTGCCTTGAATTGAGTCATGCGGTTGTTTATATATACTTTGGTGTCTAAAAATCGGCTCCAGGGAGCTTCGGTGGGAAAAAGGATCTGTTTCGACATTGCAACAGTTTAGTGTTTCTTAACCAATAGAAGATTGAATTTACTGAAACAAAGTGGTGATTGGTTAAGGCTTTTTTTTTTAGGGAAGAATACATCTCTCCGAAAGGGGTGGAAGGCTAATGAGGAAGATTCCACGGTGTAAAATGTTTGTTTTAATTAAAATTTCACACTAATAGCAATAACAGTTTTTTTCTTTATGGTTAGTGACCGTATTACGAAGTACAGTAAACTTGAATAAGTTTCTTATTTCCCAAGTAAAAACAATCAAAACCACTGACGGGTCATATTACAGGGCGCCATATTACTTGAAGAATTCATGTTCTGAAATTCAATTCCGAATTTTACCCTCTTTTGAACTTCCCAAAGATTAAACCGCTGGTAATTAAAGCAACCAGATTTTACAAGGAATGAATAAGAATATACAGGAATGGAAAATTTGGTGCCCAATTCCATGATATTTTGGTTATTTGTTACCTAATAATAAATTGATTATTGGTTTTAATGCAGCCAATTTTTTTAAAACAACCAAGACAACACTAGACACTAAAAATCCAATGAATCTCTATAATAATAATAATGATAATAATAATAATGATAATCTTTCGAAAGAAAATTAGGAAAAATAATTATCTTTTGAAAGAGAAAGAATTAATTATGTTTATACGGGTAACATTAAGATATTAAGATATTTCATGGTTTGTATGATCTTAGGAATCCAGAAATTAGAAAACTAAATTTATTTAAACTGGTAGCAAGATTTGGAAAATAATTTCTTATTCTTGGATAGGTTTTTTCAGTTCTACAATTAGCGCAAATGATTTCTTTATCGAGAAACAAATTTAGTCGTTTTTTTATTGAATCAAGCTCCACTTTAGATTGAAGATTTAAAAATAATTAATTTTTCTTTCAAATGATTGTTTTTTAAATAAGTGTAACTTTTATCATTGAATATTATGAAAATTTACATGCTTCTAGTGTGTTTCTAAATTTAAATATCAGTGATGTCATTCTGATTAATTTTATAAATGTTGAACATTTCTCTGAGTCAATAACAGTTTTTTTCGTTATGGGAAGTGACCGTATTACGAAGTACATTAAACATGAATGAGTTCTCAATTACAAAAATATAGAGACCACTGACGGGCCATATGACAGGCTATTCCTTGAATAATTCATGTTCTGAAATCCAATTCCAAATTTTAGCCTTTCCTTGAACATTAGAACCTCTGGCAATTAAAGCAACCAGATTTTCCAAGGAAGGAATGTACTAAAAATATACAGAAAATGACATATTTGATGCCCAATTCCGTGATAACGTCGCAACTTTTTGCCTATTTTTAATAAATTGATTCTTGGTTTTAATGCTGTCGAAAAGCAATCAAGACAACACTACTTGAACATCTACTTTTGTAATCTGCTTGATTCTTTAAGATGTCATAGATATGTCATAATTGAAATATATCCTACTGAATTATACATATTTTGCAAGGCCTCTAGGAAGGCCTATGTTTTCATTGTTTGTATCGTACAAAACCGTATTTCTATGTTAGTTTTTGAGAAAGCGAAAGTGGTCGAAACCAAATTAAGAATTATACCTATTTTAGAATTGCATGCGATATTTCTAGCAATTTTAATAATTTTCTAATATTAGTATAAAAATACTTTTATTACAATAGTCATCTTAATACCTCATTTCTTTTTGTGTGCTTATAATGTATACGCATTTCTTTTCTGTTTCAGTGCAACATCTACACAACAATGTGGCTGCTTTTACCAACCAATATTATCCACTATTATCAATTCTTGTCTTCACTTTTGACATGGACGAGTCTTTTGCAAACCCTGGCAGTTGTCCTACTTTTAAGGTTTATCTACACCCAGTTCATTTATATTTATATATCTCCGCTAAGAAACATGCCCAGTACAAATTTCGTTCCAATTGTGGGTTGCGTACCAGCCATAATGAAAACGGAAGCCTGTAAATTAGGTGAAATATGGTTTCAGAATTTAAAATCTCCTATTTCTCGTCATTTTTGGCTATTCGGTGAAGAGAGAGTTGGAATAGTAGACGCTGACCTCGCTAGGCAGATTCTTATCAACAAATCCAAAATTTATACGAAAGGAAAAGAGAACTATGATATTCTAAGACCTCTTTTAGGCAATGGTCTTGTTTTGGCCGAGGGAATTGTCCATCACAAACACAGGAAACTTTGCAACAATTTCTTTAAAATAAACTCACTAAAAAATGTTGTGCCTATTTTTGAAAAGTTCTCGAAGGATCTGATCGACAGAACTACATAAAACTCATCATCAAACTGAAAATGAATCTTTTGCCGAATTTTCTATCGAAGAAGAACTGACCAATTTCACCTTAGATGTCATTGGCAAATTTGCGTTTGACTATGATTTCAATGCCATAAAACATTGTAATCATGAAATAACCGAGAACATGCGAAACATAATTGGGAATTTTGAGATAACCTGGGGTCTTATAATATTTTCCATGTTTCCTTACTTGAACACGAGTTATGCCGTTAACTACAAAAAACAGATTGAAAAGGTTAACAACACTGTTTACTCGGTGATAAAAAAACAACGTGAAGGGTTAAAAGAATTATCAGACGAATTTCAAGTGACGATTTTATTGGCATCTCTTTTAATGACCAAAGATGAAGAGACAGGAGACAAAATGAACGATACACAAATTCGGGATGAAGTAATGACCTTTATGTTGGCAGGTCACGAAACGACTGGCATTACTTTAAATTGGTGCCTCTTGGAGGCAGCACGCCACCCAGAAATGCAACAAAAGATCAGAGATGAATTGAATTCTGTCATAGCACATGGAAATTCACTCTCATATGATCACTTGGAAAAACTAACATATACAAAATGTTTTATCCAGGAGACTTTGCGAATGTATCCAGCAGCTCCTGCTCTTGGTCGGCAAGCAGTAGAAGATAATTATCTTCATGGCTACCTAATTCCCAAAGGTACAAATGTGTTTATCGACATCAATGTCATTCACAAGAATCCTAAATATTGGGACGAACCATACGAATTTCGTCCAGAAAGGTTTTTCAACGCTTCTGCCATTTACCCATATTCTTATTTGCCATTCATTGCTGGCAGTCGGATGTGTATCGGATACAAGTTCGCTATGTTGGAAATGACAATAGTTCTAGCGAGATTGGTAAGCAACTTTCAATTTGAAATGATTCCGGGTGTTACTTATACAAAGGTTCAAAAACTGTTATTAAGACTAAGCCCATCCCTTGTTTTACGTGTCAAAGAGGTCAAGTAAATTTGATTATCGTTGCTACAATCGACTACATACTTTTTATATCAACGAATATTTTGTAATCATTTTCCTAACAGACTCGGTATCTGATTTTCAGAAAAGTATGTGATTTTTCATAAAATGTACTAAAAATAATGAAAATTATTGACATTCAAAATAACTTTAAATCGCATTATCATTTAGTACCTTTTCTGATGTACGAATTTTGAATGGCTTTTCCAGTAATATATCCAAAATATAATATAATAATAACCTTTGCTTTTAGTATAGAACCCTTTTGAAATTTGTTTGGTTTAAATAATTAGCGTTTTATGTAGAACATAAAAATACGATATCTGTCAATAAGAACAATAGATTTATCAGACCCTGACCAGCGGTATAACTGCGAAACATGAAATCGGATAGATAAGTCTCGAACTCTCTATATATATATTAGTACACTCACGAATTTATAGGAATGGTAGGTAAGAATGAAAATCTATTTAAAAAATATTGGTTTGGGATATTTTGTCTACTCGGTTCTCTGACCAATGTAAATGATATCGTTCTTTCCTTCAGATATTTTCCTAATGAGAACGAAAGAAACAGTCTTAACCATTAATTCAAATTTTCTACGTGGAAAAAGAAAACCCTGTTTAGAAAATACTTATTCCTAAATGTGCTTTTTCAGTGCATCACTCAAATATCAGTTGGACACAATTAACTATGAATTAAAAGAGCAAACCGAGACGAGCTTTTTTATTTACTGTTAGTTCATCCAATACAAGACTCACGCGACACTCAAGGTAGAGGGATACTGAGTGAGATTGTTGGAGAATAGAAGTAAGAAATGTTATTGAAATGTTAGGACGTGTAGAATAGATATCAGTTGACTCTGGACTTATAGCTGTCAAGGAAGCATCTTCTCTGGAATCTGTTCCACAAAATAATAAGTTCTAGGAAAGAAACAGAGAGAAATTTGCTCCTTATCAAAGGAACGCGAAGGGAATGGTATGGTGGACCCAAGTTGTGGAGGTTTGAGCTACTGAAAAATAACGAATGTAACCTGTCCGAATATCTGTCACACTAATAGCGACATTGTAGTGAGAGGCTAGCAACGTTTCGTCCTTTAGATAAGGCTCGCAGGGTGGGAGTTAATTCATCACCGACAGGGCCGTGTAAGCATTTTTTTTTAACTCTGTCGAGGCTGAACAGTGAGGATTGGGCTGCACCAATCCAGATGTAATAGCAATACGCCAATCTTTGTCTGATCTGACTCTTGTAAAGATAGAGAATGGCAGCGACAGTTAGGCATTTTCTGGAGCGATACAATGAACCAACCATTCTGCCATCATCTTTTGCGACGTCATAAATATAAGCGTTCCATTCGTGCACGGGAGTGAGCGTTAAACCTAATAGGCGTCTGAGACAAGAAGCCTCTTTGAGGATATAACCATTCATCAGGTTTAGTGCAGGTTTAGTGTTTGCTCAGTTGAGATGAAATGCTACCAGTTTAGTTTTGGATATATTGAATGATACCAGCCATTATCTTCCTATTAAGCTGTGAAAGTTAGATTCGAGTAGAGATCAGCAACCACGCTCTTTTAATCAAGATATATGGAGGCGCACCTATACACTGGTATTGTTGGGATAGTCGCATACACTGTTGACACCCCAAAATTTTAAATTAACCATTCCTGTATTAAGTGTTGGCGAATCGGGTCCGTCGAGGCTAAGTCGACCAATCAGTTCGGTCGGTGCATGTTCCCGCCAAGGCGCGAACATTGAAACAGGAAGGAACGCGGTTCTCATTCGAGATTCAGCAGTTTTGCGCGGCTCTTTGAATCGACACAAACACACGTTTCGTCGATCTGCGAAAATATGTCTTCAAGTCAACTCGCCACAGCTACCTTTTGAAATTCAGCCAAATCTGAATTCAAGAACATAAAAAACTCCTTTTTCTTAAGAGCAAACTCATCGAAATGAACGTCTGAGATTAATATAACACAAGAGTGGTTTCTCCCAATCAACTACGAAGAAAATATTACATCACTCAACATATAAAGGTACGCTACTTTGTACGATTTATTTTTCCTTTCCTGCACATGCACATTACACCCTAAAGCAATCGTTAAATTGTCGTTTGGCAACAATTTAATTCTCTGTACGAACAATTAATCTCGACCGAAGAACAGTTTCAATCGACTTGATACGAACACATGAACTCTAAACTCCCAGTTCATACATTCAAACATTCTTACAACTCATAATTTGTATATAGATGTGTATAACAATAATTCGAATTTGTTCTCGTTCAAATATTGTGTTCGTCATTATTTGTTCTGTATTGCATGATATATGTTTGAACAATTTCTTCTAAATTTGTTTGTGGAAAAATAACACTCAATTAACCATGGCCTTGTGAAATAAACCCCGTTTATTCATTAATTATCTAAAATTCACGGACATTTCCACTACAGTATCATCTGCCTATATATTTATTAAGGATCTGAGAGTGTTCTTGGGAAGATCATTAATATAAAGTAGAAAGAGGGTAGGACCAAGGAGAGAGCCTTGGGAACGCCAGCGTTGGTCTCATGTGACTCATAGGACTGATTATTAACAACAACCTTCATAGACGTATCTGACAGGAACAACTTGAATATTAAGAGGACTGTCCCAGAAATTCCATAGCTGGCCAGTTTGTGTCGCAGTCCCCTGTACCACACATTTTAAGAGGCCTTCGATATGTCTATGGTCATCATACACAAGATATTTTATATTATCAAGTGCTTCACTGATTGTTAATAGTTAGGACATCAGCTATTGGACCTAGAAGAGCGAAAACCATACCATATAAGTCTGTCGCTGAACTGTTTTTTTTTCACCAATTATCTTGTTTAAGATTGCTTCAAAGTGTTTGCTAATCACACTTAGGAGATATTGTGAAATAATCCACGTTACCTTTTCACCCCTTTCCAGAACAATCCATTCTTACACCAACACACCTGTTATCCAATCAAAACACTAGTTCTGACAAACTCAATTTCTCATTGGCTAACAGCCTTAAAAAAACTAAGTATGCACGTGAAAAAATGCCTTTGGCGCTCAAATGTGTTTGAGCCTATTTTTCCTTTCCAGAAACTATAAAAGAAAGAAATTCGAAACAACTTAACAGTCAGAATTCCACGCTGACTTGTTCTGACTGCTGTTTTGCCGCCCGACTGGTTTTTCAAATTTACCCTTTTTGTGTTGAACGTCAATTTTTGTAAAGTTTTTAATATTGTCTTTTGTGTTCTTACGACTGTTTTGAAAATATTTTGATTTTTTCTTTTCCTTTTTTTTACGCCCCCCACTCATTTTTTAAATTTTTGTCTCCCTAATTTTTTTTGTTCTTTTTTCTTTTATTCTAGTTTTCCTTTTTGATTTTCAGTTTCTTTAATTTCTCTTTTAATTATATCTTCCTTTTTAGTGATAAAAAAGAAAACTAATCTGGCTGACTATAGGAAGTCAATTAGGAAACATCTATTCAACCCGGAAAAAAGACCCCCAGACAAAGAAAGTTTTGAAGAATACCCAGCCCTTGAATCTACTTCCTCTAGTGAGGAGGACGTTGTCGGATTAAAAGAAAAATTTCAAGTAAAAATAAATATACCAAGTATGGAGGCCAATAATGGCAACACAGAAAACAATACGAAGGCCAATAATGGCCATAAATCGGGAAAAAACATGGAAGCCAAGAATGGCCTGCAAGACAAGACTGAGGTCGGGGATTCGCCCTGTTGTTGGAATACCCCACCAAAATGTATAATCGATATCGCGGAGTTGTTGGATCGTGCCAAGAGGTACGCACACCTTGTGGTAGAAGGTGGACTCTTGGTGGATCCAGTTGAACTGAAGAAGATCGAGAAAAGAATAGTGTCAGTTTTTGTCGTCGACAAGCGTTCGCGCAAAATTTGTCGTTCGACGAAAGACACAGTGTTGAAAACACTGGAGTCATTCGGGTTTAAGCCACTCCGAAAAGGGCTTTTTCGTGTGACGTGCTGCTACTCACCGCCGAAGACTGCGTAAGAGCCTCATGCCGGGAGTTAATAACAAAAGACTTGATTCTTCGTACAGAATACGAAGGGTCAAGTAGCAGTATATGAGATCGGAGAGCACCTGGCGGCTTTCTTTGTCCAGTACGACTAGATTTTGGGTGCTTCTAGCCTGACTGGGCGATGGAGCTTCGATATCATGGTCAATCATTAGGCCTTCGGCTCTATCCCCAACTGTCTTGACGTTGGTGGCCTGAAACTGCCGGTCATTGTGACCGGCCGTAAACCAGTTTGTTGCAAGTGCGGAGTGATTGGTCACCTCTTCTCGTCCTGTCCAGAGAAGAAGGCCCCAACTGACCAAACTCCTCCTCTGACCGAGTCTTTAAAATCCGCCTCGCCTGTAATGGGCATGACAGCTGCCGGGACTGGAGCGGTGAAACCCCCGGTTGGGCCAACATCAAAGCCCCCATTCCCCGAAGAGCCTTCTGCCGCTGCTAGTGCAGTTGTAGAGGAGAAAGAAGGGGAATGGCAGGTGGCTGGCAGGGCAAGAGGGAAGCGTCTGACAGCGGGTCCTCAGTCCCCTGAACCCCCTAGGACTGAGTGCACTAACGGCCCCACTCCCCCTGTCAACAGCCTCTTTACCGACACTGAAGGAGCTCCAAAGCAAATACGATCCCGGCTTTATAAAAACAGAAAGGCTCTCAAGCAAAAACTAGATCACCAACGCAAATCCTCCCCTACTAAGAAAGGGCTTCCCTCCAGTTCCACTGCCCAACATTCTACAGTCTCCTCAGGCCTCTACATCCAGTCAACCAAAGGTTAACTCTACAAAGAAGGCCACTCCCTCCGATTCCTCTGACCCGCCTCTTTCTTCCCAACCCTCAACCCCTCTTTGCAGAGAAAAGTCATTACCCGCCACTCCATCCACTTCTTCCCAGCCCTTAAGCCTTCTCAGTCCTTTTCGACAAAATTACACACCCCGCCACACCCCCAATTCTTCTCCCATGAAAACACAAATGCCCCCTCAGGACTCAAATTCCCAGAAAAAAAAACTTATGTACAACCTCGGACATGACGTGTGCAAAATATCCCCTTTACAAGCGGAAAAAGCGCGTGATTATGGAAATAGGATCAAAGATCTTAAATACTTGTTATCAATGAAGCAGTTTGCAGAGAAAAATATAGAAGAACCCGAGAACTTTCCATCTGCAGAAGGGGTTCTAACCGTAATAATGACTGGGGATGGAGCCAAGCGAGCTTGGGTAATGCTTGATGAAGCTGTAGCGACTTTCAAAATGTCCCCGCCCATTGCAATCGTTGAGAGCGATAAATTAAAAAAATGAAGCAATTCTGTGCTGGGAGGGTCCCGGTTTTTGTTCACCCCTCCCTCTATAGAGCACTAAAGCTGACGTTTCCTTGGGATATTGGCGGTATCTCCCAAGACGGCTCCATCAAGACTGAGATGGGTCACGGGTCGATGGGAGAGGCAGTCGGTATCCTTACCCCGGCCATGTTCAATTCAGGAAAGCAACCCTAATCGGTCTTCACTATGGTTAGCAAGTGTAAATGTCCGGGGCCTGAGGTCCGAGTCTCGCAGGGCGAGGCACTCTCGTGATCTTCAACGCCTCGGGGTGAATGTTTGTTGTGTGCAAGACCTGGTTTTCTTCTCAAAACCGTGAGGACATATTGTCTAAGGGGTTCTCCCTTTATTCAGCATGTTTTGATGGTCGTTCGAGGGGTGTCTCTTGGCTAGTGAGCAGGTTTTTGAAGGCTGCGTGTACTTTTGTCTTCGCAGATCCGGCTTTGCGTGCTGGATGTTACTATAAAGGATAAGGCTCTACGTCTCATTGGGGTTTATGCGCCCAATAGCCATTCTGAGGAGCCTGCTTTGTTTCGGCAGATCGCGCCGTTCTTGACGACATCTCGTCGGGTAGTTTTAGCGGGGGATTGGAATGCCATCCTTGACCCCGATATAGATCGCATAGGGCAAAATCCAGGTACTAACAACCGGGATGTGAAATCATTTCGGGGCTTTATCGATGAGGTTGATCTTGTCGATAAGTACCGGAATGAGCACCCTCGGAAGGTAGCATGGACTTGGACAAATAGTGGCAACTCGGCTCCTGGGACGCTTGCTAGCTACCGCGACCGAGTCGATGTAGGGCCCTTAGGGTGTCCAAGCTTTCATTATATAGTTTATTCGGATCATAGGCTTGTCCGGGTCCGCGTAAGCCTAAGGTTAGGTTGGCTGGTTACTGGAAATTTCACTGTTCATTATTTGGTGAGCTGGATTTCCGGGACCAGCTGCTACTAATGATACAGAGGGAATTGACGGGGGCGGTTTTGGAGAATGCCTGGTGGAATAAATTAAAATCCAAAATTAGAACGTTTCCTGCCGATTTTAGTCGTCGACTCAATCTAGATAGATTAGCGGCGCAAACGGCTTTAGAACATAAAGTTGATAGGGCTGTGAAATCACATGATAGTGGGGAAATAGCTTTAGCTAAGGCAGAGTTGTCCTCCTTGCTTATCAAGGATCAAGCTCTGGTAGTTAGGGCTATGTTAAAAAGAATGTCTTCTGAGGCGACGAATATGGTCGCTGAATTGCGTGCAGAGGAAAATCGGAACGCGTCTAGGCGACATATAGCGTGCGTCACACTGCCGGATAAGCGGATCGTGACTACAAACGCGGGCATATGCGAGGCCTTTCGGGATTACTTTCAGGATCTTTTCACCAGGGAGCCCGGTTTGAGCTGTGCTCAGTTCGACGCCTATTTAGCTGACTTTCCCTGCCTCGAGGCAGCTGAAGCGGCTAGTTGCAAGGGTCCCATCACAGAGTCGGAAATCTGGGAAGCGCTGAAGCAGATAGGCCTGGATAAATCTCCGGGACGAGATGGTCTTCCCCACGAAGTTTATTTGAGGCAGTCGCCCGTTTTTGTTCTTTTGCTGCAGCTGATTTTCAACCACTGGATGAAGCAGGGGTCTATACCTCAACGCTTCACCAGGGGTGTGATCAAGTTGCTGCGTAAGGACAAGAACGGTGGGGATGGGTTAGGTAATTTTCGCCCTTTAACCATGTTAAACACTGAGTTAAAGATTTTGGCGAAGATCTTAGCCAACTGTTTGCAGCTTGTCCTGTTTAGTCTGATTGGCTCCGAACTTGTGCTGTGAAGGGCAGGACTATTCAGGATAACCTTCATATGGTATGCTTGATCTTAGAACAAGTCGACAGTGAAGCCGCGCTGATCAATTCAGTTTAGTCCAAGGCCTTCGATAGGGTTGACCATCTTTTTCTGGAGGCTGTCCTTTCGGCGGCCGGTTTCGGAGCCGACTTTCGCTCCTGGATCCGACTTTTGTATGCGACCACCGGTGCGCTGGTGGAGCTGAATGGGGTAAGATCGAAGCCTTTCGTATTGTCTCGCTCCATTTGTCAAGGTTGTCCGCTTTCGCCTTTGCTTTACGTTCTTGCGTTGGAACCATTCCTTCGCAAGTTAAAGGTGAATCCGGTCCTGCGCGGAATTTCCCTGCCTGGGGCTACCACCTCAGCCAGGTATTCTGCTTATGCTGACGACGTTTCGGTTCTTGTGTCGAGCAGAGCCGAGATTGACGAAGTCAGCAAAGAGATCAGTGGGTATGAGATGGTGACAGGGACCAAGATCAACCGCGATAAGTCTGTTGGCTTGCGTTTGGATGCGTGGAAGGGTGTTTCGTTTCCCGGACCTTTCCTCTGGACGGATGGGCCGATCAAGATACTCAGCGTCTGGTTCAGTCCTGATCTCCAGTTGGAAATGAATTAGTCGGAGATACAAGGGAAGAGTTCGCGGTTAATCTGTGGTCTCGGGGGAGGCTTTCTTTGAACGGGAGGGCGGAAGTATGTGTTTCACACATCTACCCGATTCTCCTTTATCGACTCTCTGTACTTCCACTCCCGTATGCCAGACTAATATTATTAGTAAGGCTCTTGTTGTCTTGTTGTGGAGAGACAAGGCCGCTATGGTATCTCGCGAGATTTGTTGCCTTCATCCCTCTGAGGGCGGTCTGGGTATGCCTAGCATTGAGATTCGTCAATATATGCTTCGCATCAACTGTCTAGACCGAATGTGTCGCGGATGAGGATTGCGCCTTCTGGAAACATTTCCCATCCCTGAGAAGTGTGCACTCGTGCGGGGAGGAGACCGGCTGTACACTCAGAGCCGAATGCTCCTTCTACCGCGAATGTCGCCGTGCTCTGGAACACCTCTTACGGGCCTCGGATGCCCTCTCCAATGCCCGGGCGTTGTCTGTTAGTCAGCGGGGCCGTTCAGGATGATCTAATTGACGAGCTCGGTCTTACGAAGCAGGAGGCTCGCTCAATATGGCCTTGCGCGCCTGGGTTGAAATGCCTGGCTGGTGATTCGTGGGGCCCTCTGGGTCGCCAAAAGTCTTTGTTCAGCAGGCTTGGAGAAACATCCAAACTGCCGTCGCTGTACTGGGGCAGTCGAGACCATTGGTCACGCCTTCTTTCATTGCAAGATGGTAGTGCCTTTGTGCAAGTTTGTTAAAGGTCTCATGGTTCGCATGCTGCAGGGACAGTTTTTTGTCCTTGAGGCCAGTTCTGTTTGTAGCAATGTGGTGCCGCAGATGACGAAGGCTGAACACTATGTGTTCTTTTGCTTACTAGGTGTTATGAGAGTCATGATTTGGACGACGCGTCAGAAGAGATTCTATGAGAGCGAGAAGTTCACTTCTTCCCAACTGATCTTATTCTTTAAGCATCAACTTAAAGTCAAGATTAGGACGGAAAGGCGGCGGCTCACCTCTTCAGAATTTGGGAAAAGGTGGGTGAATCTTGCGCGTTTGTGCCGAGTAAAAGGGGCTGACCTGGAGTGGCATTTTGATGCCGGTTAGCCATCAGGATATTGTTTTCCTGGGTTGAACTTGGGCTACCCTTCCCTGGATTTAGGCTAGTTTAGGTTTTTGTAGTTGATTTTTTATTTTTTCTTTCCTTTTGTGGTAAACTTAGCTAGGGTGTGTTTGCTCATTGGCCCCTTTTATTTATGTCCCTATTTTCCTTTATTTTAACTCCCCACCCCCTCCCTCGTTAGGTGGTCAGTGATGTCAGTTCTCTGGTGGATGCGGGGCGCCTTTCGTTTCGCGTGTGTGTTTTTCGTATTTGTTGTTGTGTATGAATGAGTGTGTGCCTGTGTGAAGGCTTTGGAGGAATGAATGTTTCCTATATTTCCATAGTCATGTATCGATTTCATCCGGTCAACTGATATTTCTGCCACATTTAAGGTTTGTGGTTTTTTTTATTACTAACATGATTTTGTTTAGTTTCTTGTAAATAGTTTATAACCATTTTGTATATACATCATTGGGGTGTTTTTAGCTTGTTGTTATTTATTCCCCTCCCCTCACAGACAATGATTTGTACATATGGGAACTATTTAGGACTTTCATTGAGACAATGAGGTATTTTCGTGGATGTAGTAAGAAAGGTAAGTATGAATGTGTTGTTTTGGTGCTAGGAATAGTGTTTTGTTTGATAGGGTCAGTGGTTGGGGCTAGCTAAGTTTTAAAATTAAGACAAATGATGACCGTCCTTTTCCCCAATCCCCTTTTTGGCCTTGTGCCACATTTGCTGTGTTTTTACAGTAATAAATATCGTAAGAATTCCACACTCAGAGAGATGCCAACCAATTCCACGCCAGTTTAAACTTTAACTTTCCCGCGCGAATTAACCTCTGACTCAACAACCTTTTGGCATACTAAATCTCTCTTTTAAACAAACTTCTTAAAAATTCATTTACTTTACTTGAGAAAGTGAAATATATATTCACTACATATTAGTAACAGTAACAAACAAAACTTTTAACAATTAACAGTTCAAGGTACGCAACTTCGTACAACTTAAGAATGTTTTACATAATACTCCTATACACACACTAACGTTTGAACTGTAAAATCGAACACTTTTGTACGTTGAACAGCAAACTGTTTAATTCTTACAACAAATCATCAAAACACTGATTTAAGCATTCAAACATGCTCAACAACAAACTACATGTCTTATTACATCAACATACAACAAATCACCAATTCATAACTCATTTGTATATAAATTACCGTATTGTTGTGTATTTTTACTTTTCTTTGTTTTTTACTCTGCTTTGCATGACCTGTTCTAAATATTCGTTTATTATTTGTAGTGGGTGAATCAGTGGCGTAGCTAGAGTAAACGTCACCCGGGGCGGTCCGCTCAAATGTCACCCCAATGACCCCGATTCACCCTATGCTGAATGGTTAGCTGTAGCTAAATTTTCATACATGCTCTACCTCTACTTTACTCTACTGACCGGTACGTTACTGTTTACATGTATGATCCAAGACAAAATCCAATACCACAAAATAATCAGTTCAAATCAAAAGCTGAAAACATTGCTCACAAATTTCCCGACAATTTATTAGAAAATTTCTGACTGGGGGACAAAACTTTTAAATTATTTCTGGGGAGTCATATGCCCGCCTGCGAAGCTCTGTGTCTCCACCAATGTTTTCAGACTATTTTTGGCACCTTAGCCTGGTTGAAAAATTTTGTTGGGGGTGACATTGCGTCACCCCTCCTGTACTGGCACCCGGGCGGTCCTCCCCCCTAGCTACGCCACTGGGGTGAATGTTAACGAACACGCCACCTAAAAATTCCTTCTGATTTAACCAAATACATTCACTAATCCACAACAATATCGTGACGGTGACGAGTACTCACTTGCATTCTTTTACACAGAACGTACACTAGAAATTTTCCATAGGCTTGGAAAATATTTCTTTTTAAGGCAGGGGATAAACAGAACGGAGACAAAGAACCTGATGTGGAAATAGATAAAATTATTCAAGCCGGCCAATAAAACTGAGAAAACAAAATGCCAATCAAAAATGTTAAATTCAACAACAGAAACTCCGTAAAGTTCATTGCAAGCATAAATAATAGATAGGCTTGTTCGCAAAATTTTGAAAGCCTCCACTCGAGGCCTGATTACAGAAAGCCTTCAAAAACACGAAATTCGTATTTTTGCTGTGCTAAATGCTGAAGAAAAATATTTTATCTGTCCTATGTTAAAAATCCAAATTTAAATGAAAAATTAAATTCTCAATTAAATTTAAGTTTTACCCGTATACGATCTTAAATTAAATTATAAATATATTAATACAGGACTAAACTGCCGATTTCGTTTTCGGCTTCTTCATAGGAAAATAACAACAAAACTACTCAATGAAGCAGACGATCTTAAAATTATTAGATAAAAACAACTATATACTGTTCACAGATAAATATTTATTTTAACAAATCAAAAATGACATGCATATTGTTCCATATGCTAAGTAGTAACAAACAAAAATAAACAATAGGATTTTTACTTACATAAATAATGTTCTCAGTTTATAGAATTTATCGTTCTGTAGTGATTACTAGTATGTTTGCCACGCATACGTTTTTCTCAGCTGTGATTGGTCAAATAATAAATACTAAATATCACAGGACAATTTACTGATCGCATTCACCACACTGAATTTTTTCCTACCGTTAACTCGCAAACATGCTTTTGTTATAAAATCACCGATTGGTTAATTTTTCATCCAATCAGATATTTTTCGTGTTCTTTCAAAATTTATCCCGCGTTCGTGCTGGGAGCCTACCCGATAGTAATATAAGTCCGGATTCATCCCTAAATCAAACAGTAGAGTTGAAGACAGTAGAACTCAACTACTCACACGCGTCTGCACAGATTGATTATTCATTCTACTCACTCCGCACGCACACACACACACACAGAACTTGAATATCATTTACCATCAGTTCTTTGTGAACAAGCCAAGTTGCAACACCACTGTTAGTTATAACAAATATACAATTGAACTTACTGTATGTTCTTCTAAATACACATTTTATTTCAATACAGAACTCTGAGCATTCTATTCAGAAAACTTGCTTAATTACATTTCCTAATTCAACTAACAGATAAAGGGAAACTACTTTTTTCTCCTTATTCACACATTACAAAAATTACCTTGTATTTGTTGTTGATTTTAATATATATTTTATCGTTGAAACACAAATCGGTTTTCGATTTTTCCTTGATTTAAAAAAATGCTCTTCAACACGCAGCCACATTAATCTTTTCAACAAAACACCATTTACATTGGTAACCCCAACATTTAAGAAAAATAGCATTTACAATTCTACAAGCAGACAACTCAAACATCTTTTCTTTTTTTTTCAACATTTTCTTTACAATAAACAAATCTTGTTGTAACATTTTTTAACAATTTCTTCAGATTCTTTTATGTTCTTTCTTCTTTCTTCAAATACATTTCTTTTTCTTTTGAAACTCTTTTTCACTTCATCAGGAGCTGAAAGTGTAAATTAGAAAACACAAAGCCTAACCTATTCTAGGATCTTAAAATCTTCTTATTCTATGAAGAATATCCTTTCAAATATTTTATTTTAAAGCAAAGAATGTGAATAGGGGCAGAATTCCCCGCATCGAACGACTCTGCCAAACAAAAAGAAACGTTGGCTCTCCGAGTCAACAAACAAATAAATCAAATGCAATAATTCCCCTCATAGGGAATTAAATTACTTCTTTTAGCTTCGGAATTCTACCGAAGCTAACAAAATCTTTTCTTCAAAGTTTTTCAAATATAAACAAATCTCAGCTACGGTTTTCTACCGAAGCTAATAACATTTTCTCACAAAGTCCTTCGATGCAAAAACTCACCCTCCCCTCTTCCCATCCATAAATAAAGCCACTAATTCTAATATAGCTATTAAAAGCTAAATAAATATTAACTCTATAAAGGTAAATAATTCGATACTGTAAGTCGAATTCTTTAAGGTAACACTTTATTTTTACGTGGCAAACTAAATTAGTTAACCACGGAGCCAGAATAAAAAAAAACGTCTTAAACGACCGGGGATAAATATCTGACTGAGGATAAAACCTCTGATAAAAAGGAGTCGTCTGTAGCTTCTAATTCCATGAAAAAGAGCGGCAACAAAAAATTATCGTCTGTTTTGCCATCAGACGCATATTATACAAAATATCTAATTATTTTACCACTGAAGTTATTGAAAAGATGTCTTTATTAATACTCTAAATTTCTGTAAATAAAAAATTTCCAAAATACTCCAACAGCAATGTCCAGAACTTCAATAAATATACACTAAAAATAAAATATAAATAAATAAAAATAAAAAACATTAAAAACAAATATGCCGATCTAAAAAAGTATCTGTTTTCTCGGACTACTCTGATAATGAAGGATGCTCATTGGATACTAGTAATTTCAAAAGGAATGGGCTCTTGCTTAAATTTAAATTTCGAAAATAGTTATGTTACATTTTGATTAGTGGTAAAATAGCTGCGTATCTTTTTCATCCCAAAACTATAAGGGTTTATCTCCAAATTGTATGCATTGTATTTAGAGCTAACCTGTAGGTTATGTAAGGGATACCTTGGGTTTGATTTGTTGAAAAACAGCTGCTGCAGGTATCCAAGTCGTCCCGTTCCAGAAATAAAAACAACGCAGAAGACTTTTGACAATTACCAGATGAGAATTGAAAGGTTAACTTGGAAAGAAAAAAAGACTTCGGCTGGTGTTTTTTTTATTTTTTTAATCTATTCTTCGCTATTACCACGAGCTTTGCTTTAAAAAATGTACCAAATTATACTTTGAAAACTATTCAGAGAAGTATTTCTCTTTTTCTTCACTCTTTGTTTTCTTTTCTAAGGACCTTCTTATGCAGCAATATAATTTTTTTTGTAAAAACGCATGTTTCATTTTCATTGATAATTTACAATACATGTTATTGGTCGTCATATGGCACACAAAGCATTTACCGTATATTCTGGCTTACAAGACGCATTTTTTTTTAACTAAAAAAATACCCTGAAAAATACGTGTGTGTCTTCCAAGATGAATGTAAGGCAACGCCCAGGCTCAAGTAAGCTTGGGTGGTTACCTAATTGGCTTGACTGATAGGGATGTGGATTTGTATGTTGAGTTATTACACTATAATGTTAACTATCTAATTCAGCCTTTTATATGATGTGACCTCAATACTTAGCTGTTACGAGTATTTCCAAGACTATAAACCTTCCTGGAGCCGAGCCACAAGCTTAAATATCCTCTGTTTTCTAGCAGCGGCGGGAGCCTTTATGCTCTTGATTAGTATGTCATTGCCATACAAACAAAATCGGACGAGTGATTAATGTAAATAATACGTGGCACCAGTGTGTGAGGGATGCATGTTGAATGTGTTATTGTATGAGAATGGCTTTTTCTTTTTCTTAGAAATTTATTTCCAATATTAGGGTGCGTCTTCTAAACTGCAGTGTCTTGTAAGCTGGAAATCACGGTAATTTGTGCAATTCTTTTGTGTGTGTGTGTGTGTGTGTGTGTGTGCTAAGAATAAAATTTTTCGTGTGTTTAAACTCGGCTGGTGTCGTATGTCTTTCTGCCCATAAATCAATGTTGCCTGAAACATTAGTTTGAACTATTTTACGTAGTTTTTTTTTCTTTTTTTTTTTTTTTACCAAAAAATCCTATAACAGTCATAATTGTGAATGTAAACGCTCAAACGATTCTTGCAAACAAATCTAAGTGGACAAAAGTACAGAAAGAATAGATAGAAAAAAAAAAGTAATTTGGTCAAACACACTACAACACAGTAAAACTCCGATTAATTTTCGACCGACCACATAAACACGCTCTGAAATTAAATAAGCTGAAGTGTGTTTTTGCCAAATCACAAATAAAAAAAAATATCTGGATCAGTTGATCACGAGTGAGAGATTGAAATTTGATTCATCCAAAATAGAAACAATCAAAACAAGCTCCATGATATTCTATATTACAGGCCTACACATGGTGCAAATCAGGATCAGAAATATAAGCCTATTTCAAAATCTGTGAATTTCAGAAATTTTGAGAGAAGTAGTAAAAGTTAAACAACAGTATTAATGTCTTTGTCATTAATTTACTATTAAAATGTCTTCTATTTTATGTTTTTAATCGTAAACTAAACTAAAATTCAACATACTCTTTTATAAAATTCAACATACCTTTTTATGGAAGTATCTCATATTATTTCTTTAAATCAAATATTTTTACGCATTTTTCGGTTAGAGCATACAGCCTTGTCTAGATCTTCAGTTTTTTTTTTCTTTAATTTTGCGGTGTATAAGTTATATTGCGGTATAAGAACTGTGATAAAAATTTAACATACTTTTTAACAATTTCAAAACATTAAAAATTTAACATACTTTTTTATTTATTAGAAACAAAAATATAGATTACTCAAAAAAAATTAAAGTTTATCATCAGTGCATTTGTTTTTATGTACAAAAGTTTCATAGAGAAGAATATTAAATTAACTTTTGAAAATATTAAATAAATTTCCAAGGGACAAGAATACCAACATTTCTAAATTACCAAGATTCCTAAACTACATTGTTTTAATGAATTTGGCACAAAAAGTTCATTTTTGAAATAAACATAAAATAATATAGCAAGTCCGAAGGAAATAAAAGAGATCTTATACTTTCTTCAATTGAAAAAATTAAATTGTAACAATCAAGAAATTGTCTATTTGTCAGGATGACGATTGGGTGTAAAGGTAGCGCTGGGAGTTGACCTATTTCTTGTGTAGGTTTGAGCGAGGTCACGGAATATGGTCGTTGGCACGTGTTGGTCGATCGAGGTCACTGTGGTTGGCCGATTCGTGGTAAGGTGCGTTGGTTGTCAAAGTGATGAGGGATTGACGTAGCTGGTAGGCCGAAATAGGGCCGCGGAAACGACTGCAAAGGGAATGCCTGTAGCAAGTTGAGTATGCCAAGGTGACAAGGTTGGCTAGTGTTCTACGAAATGGTGGTAACTCGAGTGAGTTGCAGGTTTGCGAAGTCGGAGTTGCTTCACTGCGGAGTCAGTGTCGCTTGTTTGCGGAGTCAGAGCTGCTACTTGCGGAGTCGGAGTAGGAGTTGCTGTCGTGAGTTGAGTTTGCCGATGTGACGGCATTGGCGACAAGCAAGGCTTGTAGCTGGATGGTGACGAGGTTGAGATGATATTCTGGATTCCGTGTGTGAAGAGTCGGGTAATTTCTCAAGCCCGGGCTGTGTTAACGGTCGTTGAGAGGAGCGATCATGTCGGTGGCAGCGCCTGGATTTTGGCAGGTGGCCTGCAACTGCTTGTGGTCGTTTAAACAGATCTAGCACTCCTCAGGGGCATCTCCTTTTCTGGTGGGAACATTTTATTGCCGGGGATTGCTTTGTGGACTGGATATGATGCTAGGAACCTGTGCACAGAAAACGACTTTTTCAGTTTTGTTTTTTGCTTTCGTGGCGTTCACATTTGGCTGGCATGCAGAATGAATCAGAAAGAGATCTGGTATTTATGCATAAAAATGAATTATCTTTAACCAATAGTTCAAGAATATACTTTTATTTTTATTTTGTACGTTTTTATTAAAAAAATTTTAAGAAATTAGAATGAATATTTTTTTTTTATACATTAGAAGTAATTATTTTTTTTAGTTTTGATACTTTTGAGTTTAATTCATTGCTTTTATTTTGGGATTATTTTCTTACATATATCTTCCCATAAAATATATAACTGCACTTAATGTGATTTAAAAAAAATAATTCTGAATTGAAGAAAATTTATTGAAATTGACGGAGTTGATACTAAGATAAAAATGGACAATATTGGTAGAATTATTATTATTATTATTTAATTTTTTTTAGTTATTTTATCTCAAACAAGGTGGTAATGCCATTAGATCGCAGGGAATTTCAGGGAGTGAAAGTGAAAGAAAGACTGAGAATAGGGAATATTGAGGGAAGGACAAAAAACGAACAGGATTCAAGCAGATAGAATATGGCGATTGTTGTTGCATTTAATTTTTTTAAGAATGTAGTTACCAGGGAAGCAAGAAAACGAAAGAGAGTTCCATAGGTGGAAAAAGCAAGAAAAGAAACTGTTAGAGTAGAAGTGGTGGTTACATTTAGCTCGTTCAACAATAAAACGATAGAACTTAGTTGTTAATCTAGTAGAACGATTAAATTCATGTAGTCTGGACATCAGAGTTAAAAGCTGGTCAGGATTATAGATCCTTCATTGGATTTTGTCAAGAATCTCGAGATGTACATCAAGACCACCAAACTAGGCATGACAACAGTATTCAATGCATGGACGAATGGTAGATTTATAAATGTTCGAGATGGATTCTAACGAGAAAATCTTTCTGGCACGACAGAGTGAGCCAACTTTTATGCAATATACAAAGCAATTTTGATATAGTTGCACCCTACTTCATGTCAGTGGAAACCGTGAGTCCAAGAAGGCGTAGCATGTTGCTCTTCTGGGGTTT